ATTGATTTGGGCCCCCACCCACTAATAGCGACCACCAGGGGATAATGGTGACTCTCTCTCTCTCTCTCTCTCTCTATATATATGTGTATTTTCTTTTTGAAGTCCATCTATTTTTCTAAAGTACCACTACTACTGGGTGGGGGCCTAACCCAAATTATGAGCGCTTGCACGTACCCTGCCTGGGTATTTAGGTTTACCTTACAAAGCTGCCGCTCATCGCTTGCATCATGCATTGCCATCAACCCTAAACTCTAAATAGTTGTTTCCATTTCCTTTGGCATTGTCCCCATATAACCCCTCTATACCCTAGATATTGCGCGCACCTTTGCTGCCGGCACTCATGGGGGCATCCTGCGCTCAGCATGTTGAGGCCTGATCCCCTGCAGGCTACGAAGCAAAGGCAGCCGGGCCTGCGCACAAAACAACCTTCAATTTCCCTTAACTAAATCCAGACCTTAACTTCCCAAATGCGCAGGGTAGCCTTACACAACTTTGTGTTCACAGCGGAAAATCATGTTGCAAATTCTTTTCGGTTCTCTAACATTAGGAGACTACGTAGGAGTTCCTTGTGCGCCCCTAGAAGAAGGACCCTACACCGTGAGGCATGTATCGAACAACAAGCACTCTAAACTCCAAACCCTCTGTCCTAACAAGCATTACTTTTACTGTTACTAGTACTACAGTTGCTACTACTATTAGTACTGCTGCTGCGATTGCTACTACCAAACATGATGACAGCAATGTTGCTATTCAAATACTAGTACTCATAGCAATATGTATTTCAGGGAAGTAAGCACAACAGCCATAATACTTGTTATGCTTATGATCGCTACTACTTAAAACTTGCTGTTACTATCATTGTTTTGATTACAATTCAGTTTTGAGTTATACATACTTTCCGCTGTTCTCATTTCTTAAAATGTCCCAGCGGCCGCAGGCGAAGTTCCTGATTCAGAGCCTCGCGGAGCTCGGCTGTGTTTATATAGGGGTATATATGCACTTTACAGGGGCTGTACTGGGGTAGTAAAGAGGTCATCTGGGGGTAGAGGGATATACGCGCTTTAAGGAGATCACATGACTTTGTGGGACTTTGGGGCTACTAAGTGCCACCGTTAGGTACCTCCAAGGGGCTTCTCATTGGGTTTCATAGTGTAGTCTGTGCTTCATTGTAGAAGCTTTTAGGTATGCATGGGGTGTGGGCTTGAGGGCGTGAGGTTCAGCATCTTATTTTGTGGAACTTTTGGGTTAGTAGCACCTAGGTAGCCACAGTAGGTGCGCATATACATGCATACTTTTTATGTGGATATCAGTCCGAAGCCGTAGAACTTCTTAATATGCAACTGACCCTCAGCGTTGTAGACACGTTAGACACAGCTACAAGTTATCATCTTACTTACTTACTTTCCTTCTTTTAGGCAAGTAAGCTTGACCAACGTTCTTATACAAGCGCAGGTATATATGTATATAGCACAGGATCTGGGC